GTCGACCCTTCGAACTTCTGCGAAGCATTGGATTTGGTAGCCATTCATCATGATCTTTTTTGGGCCAATATGATTCATTCGGGATCTGTCTGAACGCATAGCTGTAGACATTTAATATCCTACGTAGGTGGAAGCATTCATCAACATAAGTGTATGCGCTTACACCAGCATACATACATGCAGCGACTGCATGAGTACATGGATATTTCCATGCCTGAAAACGACCACAATCACACAATTTGTGTCGTAAATCAACTCTAAATGTTTGGTCTTCTCCTCCGACGTTACGGCGTATGCACGACACGACAAAAGTATGACCAACTCGGTTCGAAATTATGAACAACCATTGATGTTGCCAATCGCTCATTTGCTTCCATTGATTCCACCACTGTAGGAGCCCAAGTTTGACCTCTATTTATGAGACTCTCAATTTCCTTACCTTTGTCCGACCAAACTTTAGCCAATCTAAAGTACGTCTCTTTCACCACACTCGCTATTGGGAGATGGCGTGTACCTTTTAGTACCGAATTAATGGCCTCAGCAAGGTTTGTGGTCATATGTCCATATCTCCGACCTTCATCGTATGCTTGCGACCATTTTTCACGCGGTATTTTTGAAGCCCACTTCCAAACACGCTGATCATCGTAAAATACCTTCAAATTCTCCAATCTCTTGTCAAAATTTGGTCGACGTAGTTCGTATCCTGTTCCATAATATATTTTGTTAAACCGTAATTAAAAAAACCACGTAAAAAATGCACAAATATTGTAAATAAAACTTACCCATGCTGACTATCTCGCTACGAATATGTGCGTTATGAAACTGGTTGATACTATTCTTGCCAATATGACGGATACAAAATGTCGGATATGCATACGGAGGTATCCAACGACTTCCTGGTCGTTCAATTGCCGCCAAAATACTCGTTCCTCTATCGGATATCAAGCAAACTCCATCTTCACGAACGACATATTGACGTAGATTGGTCAGAAAGAAATCCCAAGCCTCTGTTGTCTCTCCCTCAACAATGGCGAATGCAATTGGGAAGATATTTCGCTCACCATCTTGAGAAAATGCCATCAAAAGTACATGCCTATATTGACCATATAGCCACGTACCATCTACTTGGATCATACGTTTGCAAAATGAAAATCCTTCAATACATGCCTTGAATGCCCAAAATAGTCTATGAAATATTTTCTTCCCTCGCAGAAGTTGACCTTCTTCGTCATATGCGGGCATGGTTTGAGACTTCACTATGGTTCCTGGGATAAATTGCTTCATTGCTTGTAGAAAATGTGGTAGCTCATTGTACGATGTATCCCAATCTCCATACGTCAGCTTCATTGCCTTCATCTTCGCATTCCACACCTTGCCATATTTTACTTGATATCCAAATTGGCTTCGAATAGATGCAGCTAACACTAAACAAGATATCCTTGGATCCTTTTCAACCATCGCCTTCACGTATTCACATATTACATCGGAGTCCAATAGTCGGTTGTCTTGTTCGATGGAGTTTCGCAAACATGTGTGCGGACCATTGTACCTCGTGATGACCCAAACATCGTGCCTTTGATTTTTCGACACTCTGATCTTCCACTTGCACTATGGGCCATATTTTACACACTTTGCGTATAGGGTTTTCTGGTTAGACTCTGCAACATGGACATCAACATGGCATTTGATGCAGTACTCTTTAATCGCCAGCATAGCTTCATTTTTTCCTCTGAATTGCACCCCAACTGAAAATTCACCAGAATTATCGAATGATTCAGTCATTTGGTATGGAGGTAAATGTGGCATATCTGGGAATTCAGGTGCCCTTATCGCATCATAGTCTATCTCGTACATGTGAGGAGTAGCTTCATACCGTGCCGAAACTTCATCAATTGCACCTCCACCAAAAATATTTTCGTCGTCGCCCAAAACGGGTTCTTCGATTTCTTCATCTTCGCTTGAATCATCGTGAATTTCTCCCCATCGATTTTCAGCGTCAATATCAACAACCAATTTCGGTATGTTTCTCGTCTCATACTCTGCTGTTGCAGATGTCCCCCCGACTTCATTTACACTTTCCAATAGTGCCATAAAACTGTTCGGGAACCTGTATGTCGGCTCCTCAAACTGACTATATAAAGCCATTTCAGATGGATTTTGAGCCACACCTCTTGATGACCAAGGAACATCACATATGTTACGCACATCAACAAATAACTCAATAATTGCTATATTGGTTGACTCATGTAATCCAACCATGGTTCCAATATCATCATCTTCTTCAAGTGGAACTGCAACATATCTGACTGGGTTGGGGCATATCATAAACCTATACCTCAAACCATCAACTGCAGCTCGAATTTTTCTTTCTATCTTATGCTTCATTTCTATAAATGTGATGTCATTTTTGAACATCATATTTATTGGTTTTTCAAACTGAAAAACTACTCCGACCTCATTTTCAATAATCTGTCCATTATAATGGACAATCGTGAAAAATTTGCTGCTCATTTTCTCTACAAATAAAAAAATAAATTAATTTAGATTAAAATATTAGATAAGATAATTTCATAAAACATTAAATCATTAAATATAATATAATATACTATTATATTAATGATCAAATAAAATTTGTTATTTAACTTGATTAATTGATTGATTACTAATATTATTAATAATGATTTAATAATTATTATTAATCTAATGATTTGATATTTAATGATTTAATAATAATATGATTTAGTCATGATTACTAATAATTATTTATTATAAATATTTAATGATTTAGATTTGATACTAATCATTTAGTAATTATTACTAATAATCATGATTAGTTTGATAATATTTTTTATTTTTTAAAAATATCAAACAAATTTGTTAGGAAAAATATCGTGATAATGCGTTGGCCGGATTATTTCATTCAATTAATTTTTACTCCTTACTAATTTACACATACAATATAAATAAAACAAAATATTTTTTTTTAAAACAACACTAAATATTTTTTTAAACAAAAATTATCTCGCACAAATTAGTTTATATAATCTAATATAAACTTACTATCTAACTAATTTACACATACACAACAACAAAAAATAAAAAATTACTCACGTATTTATGCCTTCCTCCTTTCCTTTCTTTTCCTTCTTTGTTTCTTTATTCGAATCAATTTCAACATGGGCGAATGTTGTGGAATAATGCTCTGTATGTGTAAACCGTTTAATTTATTTAAACAGCAATAGCTCCCACAAATTAATTTTATATAATCTAATATATTATAATATAACTTAAACTAATAAACTATTTCTTTATTATAATATAACTTAGTTAAAATAACACACTAATTAAGCACTAATTAATTTTTTTATAATATAACTTCAACTTCAATGAACAATCTAATATATGTTTAAAGACACTAACAAATTAATTAATATTTTTTTATATTTAATAACTTAAACTAATAAACTAATTAACTATTTTTTTTATATATATAATATATAACTTAAACTAACAAACTAATAATTTATACTAACAAACTAATTAACTAGATTTTAGTTTTACCCTAAACCCTAAACTAACAAACTAATAATTTCATATAATAAACTAAATTAAACAATAAAAAATTACCTCACAAACTATGTTTGATCCTTTATCTTATTTTCTTCTTCTTCCTTTTCTTTCTCTCGGCAAAGTTTATATGTGCTTATGCTTATGCTCCTGGTTCTGCTTCTGCTTCTACCCTAAACCCCATATCATTTATATAAAGCAAAAAATCGTTGTACAGAGTCATTAAAATTTGACTATTGAATAAAATAATATTAGGATTGAATCGTATAACTATTGAGCTTTGAAAGTCTTCAATTGAACAACAATATTTGCTGCATTTAACAGCTAAATTAACGTTGCAATCATACAGCTATGGATGCAACGCATGCAGCTACGGATGCAGGAATCTCCCAGCTAGCTATGGATGCAACGCATGCATGAGTGATAGGGTTAAAGCTTGGTCGCGATGCAGGAATCTCCCAGCTATGGATGCATGATGATGCAGACCTACCATGTCGTCGGGACTCCATGGCGACCTACCATTCTACCATGTCGCCGGGACTCCATGGCGACCTACCATGTCGCCGGCCATGGCAACCTACGATAGAACCGATCCTTGGTCGCCCCGAGTGCCCCATGCATGAACTGATCCTTGGTCATCCTTGGTGCATGACCCATGCAGAGGTTTGCCGAGATCAGACCACGTGAACAAAGCGCAGCGCGACCTATCCCATGCCTCGTGCATGGCCCATGCATAGCACCAAAGCAGCATCAGCGGGCAAAGAACCAAAGCAGAGGCAAAGAATGTTGGACGCCGGGCGTGCATGGCGACCTTATAGGACGTCGGGCGTGCATGGCGACCTATAAGGACGCCGGGCGTGCATGGCGACCTATGCTGTCACTGTAGAATTTACCCCATTCGAGCAATTAATCTGGCCAGTGCATCATCTCGTAAAATATTTTTTTTGAATGCATTATGTCGTGAGTTTTGCCCACAAACCCTATTAAATATTAATGACATGTGACTTGATTGATATAATTTAAATAATTAAATGACTTAATAGATAAAATTAATAGATCAATAATCAAATTCAAGTTGTCCCATAGTAAAGTGTCATTCATGTAATTTATGCTAAAATTAAAGTTGAAGTTGCTTTGAGGCCAACTAAGGATACGTTTATATATTCCACCAACTCAACCTCACCTGTAATCAATATTAATTAATAGGTAAAATGAAAAGGGAAAATAATAAATTGGAAAGAAAGTGGCAATCTTGTAGTTTGTATAAAATAAATGGATAATGTACCTTAACTAAGTCCAAAAGACTTGCAACTTGCCCATCCACTTGCAGTGTCCAGCGTAAGCTCTTGCATTTGCATTATGAAAATTGAGAAACTATTCTAAATCTTCTCCTTTTATATTTACAATACATTAATCTATGTCTCTAACCAAAACCCACATCATTCATCACCTCCTTAGCTAAAACATGCCTTCCTCCTTGCAGCTCCACTGCTCCACAACCACCTTCAGCGGCGGCTGCCACCACAAACAGCAACCTCAACCCACCACACTGACAAGTTGTTTCCCTCTTCCTCACGATGTCTCGCTACCGGAAACGGTCTCGTCGTACCACGTCCACACCCTGAGACCGAACCAGTGTTGTTCCGCGGTGGTTCAAGCCATCGAAGCCCCAGTGGATACGGTTTGGTCTTTGGTTCGTCAGTTTGATAACCCTCAGGCTTACAAACATTTCCTCAAGAGCTGCCATGTGATCGTGGGTGACGGGAACGTGGGTAGTCTTCGTGAAGTTCACGTGGTGTCGGGTCTCCCAGCAGGTTCCAGCACGGAGAGGCTCGAGATCCTGGATGATGAACGTCACGTACTTAGCTTTAGTGTGGTGGGAGGCGATCATCGGTTGAGAAACTACAGATCGGTTACAACTTTACACGCCTCCCCAAATGGTCAAGGGACGGTTGCCGTGGAATCATTCGTTGTTGATGTACCAGCTGGTAATACCAAAGAGGATACCTGCACTTTTGTTGATACAATTGTACGTTGCAACCTTCAATCTTTGGCTCAAATGGCTGAAAACATGGCTAAAGGAGAAAACTCATTATCCCCTTAATCATTTTCTAAGGGGATAATTCTTTTTCTCTTTAACTCTTTTCTTTCGTCTTCGAGTTGCCATTAATACATCCTTAATGAGGTTGAAGATGATCCATATCGTATATTATTGCTAGAGGGAGGTTTAATTCTTCACCATTTTCTTTTGGGAGATTTTAGATTTGATGATGGCAATAAATTTTATTTTGTTTTCTCCATGTAATTGTGAATGTGTTTCAAAGAAATTGTACTATCTATAGTAATTAATCCTTCTGAATTCTACCCTGATTATTACCTTCTTTGTTTGTCCTTGCATTCCTTCCTATTATATGTTTTCCAAATATAGTAAGAATTTTTTTCAATATATATAGTAAGAATTAATTCTTAATTTTAAAAATGTACACTTTATTATATATCAACTTAAAATTTTTAACGATAACTGAGAATAATTTGACATCTAAACACCTAAGTTCGCCCCTAGATTAGTAGAATATATCTCCAACGGTGAAGTACAAAAAATTGTTACAAATGGATTAACCTTTAGTATAAAGTATTATTAAGATATTCCAATTTTTAATGCTCTAATATATGGGGTGTTTGATATGAACAATGAAATATTGACCCATTAGTACTCCAATGCACTCAATGTGGCTCCAAATGCAGTGAGTTTTTTCCCCCTAGTTATATTTGAATTGTGATCTAGGTTGAAATCTTAAGGTTATTTTTTCATAATAATATTATCTTTAAGATTTGAATTTGAATTTTTTTACTAAGAATTAATGTAACATTTATTACCACCGTATATAATATTTTATTAATATTTTTTCAATAAAATATTTCTAATGCAATGATTGATACGTGATGTATTTATTTTATGATAGATAATTATTTAAATTATGAATCAAATTTATTTATTATTTTGAATCAATAGATCAAAATTAATTATCTAATTAGTCCAAAAATTTTATACATTAAATTGAATCTTAAATTAAAGTTCAAATATTAAATTAAGCCCTAAAAATCAAGTTGAGATATGCATAACTATCCAAAAGTAAAGAATACAAATGTTTGTTGAGAGAGAGAATCAAGAAGAGGTGCTTTGCAAATTTCGACTTAATTAATTATACATTTTTTTAATAATCCCCAACTTGATGAAAATTAATGCAAGTTGATGCTCTTTTTAATTTGTTAGGTATATTTTGCCCGTAACTCTCTATGTACATATTATATTATTATTATTATTATTATTATTATTATTATTATTATTATTATATATGTTGTTGAGAAAAGGACGAGGGGGGCAGCAAGTTGGAATGCAAGTGGGCTTTTAAGGTTTCGACGTAGTTTACATAAATTTACGCCACCCATTTTGTAATATTTAAAGCATTACATTTAATGTAGTTGGCATTTTATAATTTTATACACTGCTATTAAATTTTAATATTCGGTTGTATTATAATTATATTTGAGAGTAATTAAATGTAATTACACGCTTATAACGTGTTTAAACAACTATCATATATTTACGAATTTCTTTAAATTAAATCAAACTAAAAATAAAATAAAATAAAATAGATGCTATTTCATTAATGTTAATTAAAATGTTAAAATATTGCATGATGTGATCGAATGCAACAACTATCATGACCATGTTTAATTTGATCCCCAAACAAAGGCAAAGGATTTCTTAAACTAAAAAGTGAATTGTGCCAATGAGATATGGAATTCTTGGTAAAGAAGCTTCAAATTCAAGTCTCATTATGTTATACTTTATTTCCCTGTTTTATATGAAGTTGAGATTTAATTATGATTATATTCTTTTATCAAAAACAAATTATGATTGTATTATTTGTTTTTAAAAATAAAATGTGTCTTCTATTATTATTTTCGTTATTATTTATGCTTTCTTATATAATACTTCATAATAATTAAACTTTTAATTATATTAAACAAAATTAAATTATAAGATTAAATACGCTTGAATTCAACGTCCAACGATGAAGGTAGAAGATTATAGTTTTGGTCCCTTGGTTAACGAGTAATTTTTTTTAAAAAAAAAGGTTTTGTATGAATTCATTGCCAAAACATACAAGACGAACGTCAGAAATGGTCTCGTTAAAAATCTTTCATATGCCTAATTGGAGGAAAAAGAGTACACATTTTCAACGGACAGTACAAGCGAAAAACAAAATAGCTCACACCTATCCGAAACAATCCTCACTCTAACCAGCTCACTATAAAGAAGCAGAAGCTCATGTAAACAAGCCTCACATTATTCAACACCACCAAAAAGCAACCAATAACAGCCAATTAGCAACACATTAGTTAACAGGAAAGCAGCACTCCAACGTCAAGTGACCGCGCACATACCAGATCGCCGAGACAAACAGCCGAATACATCCGGAGCTCCACCTGCACAACAGCCCGCACTCCAGCAAAACTAACCCCCTATTCCGCACCAGCACACAAGAAGAAAGAGTGTGGTCAACTCAGCTCAAACCAGCAGCCCACAAACACGCATAGACAAAGAGAAAACGATAGGAAGATCGAAAACGGTACATCTCAACGCTGCTCGACAACCCATCCAGCACTTAGCACCAAGCAAACAGCGACCAACCAACAGCTAAAAAGCAGAATGATATCCGTACCACACCAGAATGATCCAAACCAGTATGGCCTGCACACCCCAAACACCACAATTCCAACAGCACTCTTGGGCAACAACACCAACGCCAGTTCTTACCAAGAGCTGACCGCATTCACGCCTGCGAAAGCCAATATCCATAGGCACACTAGCAAGAGCAACCCCGCTCCTTCAACGGGACCACATCGCAGCAAAGCAACAACAAAAACAAAAACCATTTTACAACACCAGAAAAAAAACAGCCTCCCAAATTATCCCAGGTAAAAAAGATCCTCAAGCAATCGCATTGACAGCCAAAAACAATCCACTCAGATATCAATAACTGCAAAAGTTGTTAAGACACCACAACAACATAACTCATTACAGCTGCTGCAAATTTGGACACTGAATAAAATCCTTGATGTTTAAAATTCCAGTAGGCCACTTGCTTCTGCACCAAAGTCTCACCCTACATAAAATTAAGTCAAAGAGCTGGTTTTCGCAACAAGGTTTTCCGTTAAACATAACGTCGTTTCTATACAACCAAATGGACCACAAGATTCCGAAGAAAGCCATGTTCCATATTGACCACGAAGCCCTCCTCACCGGTTGAGGAACCCAAGAACACAAGAAACCTTTGACATTTTCAGGGACCACTAGCACAATTGACCAACGGGAGCACCACCTTTGCCAAGTCTTCCACACTATGCTGCAATGACAAAAAAATGCTCAACCGATTCCATCTCTACACGACACAGAACGCATAAGTTAGAAGCAATGTTAATTCCACGCTTCTCTAATTCCAAAAGAGTCGGGACCCTTTGGAGCACTAATCTCCAGACGAAAGCCTCCACCTTAGGAGCAAGGTTGGCCCACACCAATTTCCAAACAAGATCTTTATCGAGACCTTCGCTCCCAACGCTATTATAGAAGTTCCTAGAAGAATACATGCCATCACCTGAGCTTTTCCAAACTAGATGGTCGCAAGTCTCACTTCTGCCTCCGGAAGCATTAATCACCCGGTAAAACTCAACCCAAATGGGATTTTCCCATTCAAACATAGGCCTACGCAGAACAATATTCCAACGCCAAACTCCGTTTCTGATTTTATCTTATTTTGTTACACTGAGTTTCTGATTTCATTCCAACTCATGCTTACATCCTCCAAATTATTATAACAAGAATGATTTTAGAATTTAATTACAAAATATATAAGTATAGATTTTGACCATTAATAACCCAATATAAAATAGAAATAGTTTGTTGAACTTTTGAAACTCCATTTTGGCCAGTTGGTATAAACGTGTTCACAATTTAAACATATGGAACTTGCTTAGAAGGGCAGATGGTGGCCCACTTACATGGGTTTCTTGTTCTGCAACTTGATAAATTAATTAAAGCAAACGTAAGTCATCTTTTGAAAAGGTGAATAAAGTCATGATTAAATACAATGCAATTTAGTACGGACTTAATGTTACCCTCAACACGGAATTATGGGACGGTATTTCTCGCAAATGGCCGTACATTTATTCACATGTAAAGTTGGGCCTAAACTTTTTTGGAAATTAGAATTAAAATCTTTTTTTTATGACATCAACCCCATAATTTACATGATATTCTATGTGTATCACGTTATTAAATAATTTAAATAACGATATGTTTAGTTTAAGTAATTTTGAATAATATTATTTGTATGTTAACAATTAAAAGGATAAAAACCTAATTTATACGATATTACTACTTGAGGTTTGAAAGTGTAAAATAAAATTAAAATACGAACAATTTATCTTAATTATGATATCTCAAATTCTAAATCTATCAAATACACTTTGAAGATATTTTAAGTTCTATTATTATTGTCATCTTACAAAAGCTCCTCTCTTTTCAGGTATTCCGTTGATCAATGTGTTAAAAGTTGGCAGCATTAGTCAACATAATAGGGTGACAATTTGGCATCATTAATGAGCGGCTAAATTGGTGCCACCAAATTGTTGAAAAAGTTAAATGGAATAATCACAATTTAGTCATTGAACTTAGAGTATTTACAAAGTAGTCCTTAAAACTTCAACAATAAATACCCTAGCTCATTTAACTTCAAAATCATCCCAAAGCATTCTAGCTTTCTTCCAATACTAGAGAGAATTTAGAGAGTTTCTTGAGAGTTATTTTCTCCTTTTTATCGAGAGAGAATTATCATTATTTTCTCCTTGGTAGATCGAGAGAGGTTGTAATTCATATTTTTCTCATAGTGAAATTCTTCTACCGTTGCCCGTGGTTTTTACCCAGTATTATTTAGGGGTTTTCCACGTAAATTTTGTGTCTCTTTTATCTTCAATTTTTATTTTCTCAAATTATTAGTTCCATTTTTGCTCTATCCGATAGCCGTCTTCCGCAACAATTGGTATCAGAGCCAGATTTGAGTGTGTAATATCTGCTTATTGTCTTTGTGGTTGCCACCAAAAGGTGGATCCTCCAATATAAGAAAGTAAGAAGGTATTACCCATTCTTTGAAGGTTCTAGAGAACTATTCACG